CCACCCCCCCCACCCCCAGCCGCATCAGGCGCTCGAGGGCGAGCTGCTGGAGCACCTGAGTCCCGGGCTGGCCCTAGGCGCGATGGCGGGCCCCGACGGCGCCGTGGTGTCCACGCCGGCTCACGCGCCGCACATGGCCACCATGAACCCCATGCACCAAGCGGCGCTCAGCATGGCCCACGCGCACGGGCTGCCCTCGCACATGGGCTGCATGAGCGACGTGGACGCCGACCCGCGGGACCTGGAGGCGTTCGCCGAGCGCTTCAAGCAGCGACGCATCAAGCTGGGGGTGACCCAGGCGGACGTGGGCTCCGCGCTGGCCAATCTCAAGATCCCTGGCGTGGGCTCGCTCAGCCAGAGCACCATCTGCAGGTTCGAGTCCCTCACGCTGTCGCACAACAACATGATCGCGCTCAAGCCCATCCTGCAGGCGTGGCTGGAGGAGGCCGAGAAGTCCCACCGCGAGAAGCTCACCAAGCCCGAGCTCTTCAATGGCGCGGAGAAGAAGCGTAAGCGCACGTCCATCGCCGCGCCGGAGAAGCGCTCGCTCGAAGCCTACTTCGCCATCCAGCCGCGGCCCTCCTCCGAGAAGATCGCCGCCATCGCCGAGAAGCTGGACCTTAAGAAAAACGTGGTGCGCGTCTGGTTCTGCAACCAGAGGCAGAAACAGAAAAGGATGAAATACTCCGCCGGCATCTAGGAGACCCGCGGCCTCTCCAGGGACCGGACCCTCCTCGGCCCCTCTTTCCCCTCCTTCTCGCCTGCCTCTTTCCACTTTGGGCGACCAGACACACAATTCCTGTAAATGTGAATCCCGACACACCGAGGGTCGAAGAGGGAGCGAGCGAGCGAGCGGGCAACTGAGCCCAAACCGGTGAGCGCGCCAAGCGGTTTCTCAAAGGAAAGAAACACAAAAGATGGGATGTGTCAGTTGTAGCCAAGTTGTCCCTTTTAACCCCACCTCGGCTTCTTCAGACGAAGTGTGGAGCGGGCTGTTTGCGGGAAGGCAGACAAGACAGCCTTTAAGAGTCCACGAGAATTATCAAGTAAGATTTGTTTTTATTCTTACAGACATCATCCTTGTTCAAGTTTAAAAGTACACTTTGCAGCTATTTTTCAGAAATAGAAATTGATTCAGGACTAAAACTTTAAACTAGAGTTGATGCTTAATGTGATAGAGACATCTCTAAAGTATTTTGAATTAAAAAAAGATGGCAGATTTTCTGCATTTACACTGTATATTATATATATATATTTTTATTGTGGTTCTTACCCCCTTCTTCCTTCTCTGAAGTGTTAATGTTAAGAAAGGAGTTGCGCCTGCGATGTTCACTGATCTTGAAAGCTATTATTAGATTATTGCAGAACAACCTTCTGTAAATGATTAATTTATCTCTCTAGCAACTTAATTTTGTGCACATTCTAATTAATTAAACTTCTTTATTCAAAAAACCCGGGGGAAATGTATAGCTAGTGATGTTCAAAAAATTCTGTTTGATGAGTTTACTGAGTTTTTACAGCTTTCCTCTTCTATTGTGTTCCTTTGGGCCCATTTGTATATTCTCACTTTGAATGAAGATTGTTTTTTCTTTGTTTTTTACTGGTGGTGTTCTGATTTGTGAGTGACACTCAGTAATGGATGTCTTAATCGTGTAGACCTGATTCACTGTCCGAAGTATTGTTTACTTCGTTGCATATTTAATGGGGATTCCCACATTGTCCCTGTGACACACGAGCTCTCTCACTCACTCTTACACACACACACACACACACACACACACACACACACACACACAATCTCTAAAGGAAGAGAAGAAGCAGTTGGATGCATGACTGGTGCAACATTTTCTAGCTTTAGGTGCATTTGCCATTTGGTGTTTGCCCTTCCAGATTCTAAGATTTCACCAAGGTATTTCAATCTTCCAGTTTTCAATTGCTTTGTTGGGTACATTTTAACATTTATAGGAATCCTTCAGTTTTTCCTTTTGGAGGTTTGTTTGTAGAGAAACTAATTTGAACTATAAGAAAGACAGTGCACTGCTTGTAAATTCACATTGTTTGGAAGAATTCCTTTGGAACAACAACAACAAAAAAATAGGTACGTGATAACTGGTACCTTATCTATTGTAAATATTTCATTCAAATGATGCACATATAGATATATTCCTACAAATTTTGCTGTATTGCTGTTCCATTCGAGGCTCTCCAAAGTCTTGAGTTCTGTATATGACCTGGTTTCTTGTTTTTTGTTAATAGATGGTTTATTTACTATGGTAATGTATTATGTTATTTTTGGTGTTGTTTGATTGTCTTTCATTGAAGAGACAATTTTAATGTTTTATTGGCAAAGTATGCTGCTTTTTTCATTAAAAATATGCTATTAAAATTAAATGGCTTTTAAAATATGATGTTGTTTTAATTATTTATGTGGGAATTATTTGGGTGGGGGATATTTGAAAGGCAGAAGCACATTGTGATGGTTTATTAAGGAGTGGTTGTTATTCAAGTATAGCTTGAACTTAGTAGAGAGTGTTTCTCTGGTGAAGTATAAAAGAACAAGGTTTATACAGTATTTTAATAGTGAATACTCATTTCACAGGATGCTTTGCTTTTCTGCCAAGAAGAAGTTAGGATATGTGGCTCCAAATACCTCCCTTGGAGTTCTTTCACCAGATCTGCAATGATTCTGCAAAGAGCATCTTTGTAAGCAGATATATTAGATGAAAACAATTTCACTCATTCTGTCTCATCCCCCACAAATAAAAGTTAGAAAGGAACTCGGCTCACCTTTCAGCAGCACTGGGAAACTGGGTGTGGCAGGAGTTGAGGCTTGACTGGGAGAGTAGGGCACCCTGGTTGATGCCCAGAAGCTGGCTCACCTTAGTTCTTAGTTCAGTCACCACTCCTGGAGAGCAATGACTGCAGATAGAACAGGAAACTCCTGGAATCCTGGTTTACAGAGTAGGGTCTCTCTCTCTCTCTCTCTCCCACACACACACATTAAAGAAAACTCACATTGCTGCAGTAGGCAGAGCAGGGCTGAAGAAATCCTGTGTAGCTGGAAGGAGCACATTTTTGCTTTCTTCTGTGGGTCACCCTGACAGCAGAGTTGGTGGAAGTCTGTCTAACACTGGTCTGGCACTGACACCAGGAGATTCTGCCCATTTGATATATTTCTGTTTCTGATCCTAGTTTAAAGAAACCTCCCCACTCCTTTTAATAATTTTCAGACTCCCTACAACAGTTGAGCAACAAACTATTTGGTTTGTGAAGTTTTTCTCCCAGTAAGTCTCTGGTTTAGATTGTTATGTTATAAGAATTTCATACTCTTAATTAATATGAGAACATCATACTAACTTTTAGCTCAAGATGAAGGAACCAGGTCATCCTCCAGAGATCATTCTGTTAAACTGAGCTGTGATTTCTCTGATATGGAACTGTCTTGAGATGTTTCCCATATTGGAGACAAGTTTAGGAAGTATCCCATAAGACAATGAAAATTGTTATAGTGGAATTAAATGTTGTTGAAAAACTGATGATGATTCCTAGATTTAGCAAAAAAGTTGTAAAAGTTAGATGGATAATGAGTGGAAGGATCTCTTTTTTTATTGTTGAAGAAACAAAATCCAAATGTCCATTTAGAAATAATAAGATACATTACATAGTTGCCTAAAAAACATTACAACGTGTAGGGATTTAAAAGAAAAAATATGTGAATTTAGGTACAATAATATTGGTAGCTCCATTTTATTTCTATATGTTGGAGGCTGAAAGTTTCTTCTACCGTTTCCCTCCTTATTCTTAGATTCAATTTTCCTGAAAGTTTTTTCAAACAGCCTGCCTCCAATTCAACTGTCCCGAGTACTAATTTCAGCACCATGGATAGTAACCATACGCTGGAGCCCTACTCCCCTTCTCTTCCACCAAGCAGTTCCTAGCTAGCTGGACAACTTTCTGCTTGCTTACTTTTTTTCAGAGGGGAGAAAAAGAATAAAATGGCTTGGGTGTGTAACTGATGAGACTTGCTCATCTAGGATAAAAATGATCTTCAATAAATAACACTTTTCCCTTCCCACATACAGCTTTTTATTGAAGGGGTTATGGTAAATATGCTAAGAGAGTTAGTTGCAGGAAACTAAGACAGATGTGATAGTGTCTTATTTTTTTACTGATATAGTATCTTTATATAAAGGAAGAAACACTGTGGAAGTAGTAGAAATTGAGAAATATATTGAACAGAATAAAATAGGAGTTTCTTCTTTTGAGTAATTTTGAAGAACATGACAGTTTGCGTATATGCATTCATGCCCAAGATTTTTTTGCGTGAAGAAAGTGACATAGCAACAATCATCCATTTACTTCCACAGTTTAGAGTAAAGGCCTATATTTTCTCTTAACTCACCAAGAGTTTTTTGTCTCTTGTGTTCCTGGACTTTCAAAAGTATATCACCTTTTTAAGCTTCTCTTCTCTGTGTAATTACAAGAGTAAAATAAAAACACACCAAAAAACTTGCTTACAAAATTAAAATGTTTTTATTCTCGGAGTCTGCTTAAATGTGTTTCATGAGAAAAGCAGATTTTTAAAAAATAAATATATTCTAAAAGTTTTTACTGATGAGAGCTACAGAGACAATAACAAACCAAAGAGATTTGGAGAAAAGAGTGTTGTTCTTAAAGAAGAGATTGAAGGTAAGACTAGAATAAGTCATGTATAAATTGTTGAGAAATAGCCATTTCGTGTTGACTTTCAAAATGCTCAAATGGATAAATAGTACAATGTGTTTGAAAACCCTTGTCATAACAATCAGCTCTGTTAGCATTCATAACTAATTTTCTATTTTTTTCTAGAGATCAATAATTGCTATTCTATTGGATAGAGATATATTATGAGCACACATAGTCATCCTGGATTTTATGTTTCTGGACTATGTAGTTAGTTTTTGAATTCCCCTAAAAGCAAATGATTCAATTTTTTTTTTTTTTTGGTCAAATGTAACCATCTAGATCTAAACCGAAATGTAACAAGTGACTAAAAGAAAAGATCTGTAAGCTCTGGCAGATAGCTAAGTACTCTCTACACCAAACCATTACAATTATTATCCAGAAAACAATGCAGTTTCTTTTGAATATATGGCACTGAATAAGCTGGCCAACTCTTTATAAGATTAGGTTTCATGGACACAGCTTGGGGAAAAATAATGAAATACTCTATTATTTTCGATAGGAGAGTACATACAATGTAATACTCCCCTATTTTCTATAAAATGCATTTAAAAAGAAATGATACATAACTACATCTTTTTACCATCAAGACAGATCCTGCAAACCTCTCTTTGCGAAGAGAATTGAAATTTTTCCGAGACAATTTAAATTGGAGGGGTAAAAATACTTTATTCCAAGTTTCAAATAAATCAATGTATTTGGATCCATCTATCCGATAAGCTCTTGGAAGAGACAGTGGAAAAGGCATTGAAAAATCTTCTTGATTTTAAAGAGAATATTATTAAGGCAACGAAATTCAGATTTTTCTAGGTAGGCTATGACAATAAGTTTATAAATTTGTCTTTGCAATTGTTTGGTGGAAACAATTCATATCTCTAGGTAAATGATCCACATTAGAACTCAAAACTTTACTTTTCAGTGGGCCTTGGAGGGTGTGGGTGGGTGGTCTGCTGCAACAGAAGGAAAAAAAAGCTGGAT